CTCTCTCTCTCTCTCTCTCTCTCTCTCTCTCTCTCTCTCTCTCTCTCTCTCTCTCTCTCTCTCTCTCTCTTTCGCGCGCGCACGCGGGCGCGTTCCAACGGAACGGGCAACCCGTTCTTCGCGTTGGAGCGTTAGTGCTCGCGAGGGAAATTATCTGCGGCAGAACGCGCTTGCGCGTTAAGTACCTGTTCGCGCGGCAAATGAGCCGCAGGCCGGTGCCCCGCGGTTTTTTTTTTTTTCTTTGGAAAAAAAAAAAAAAAAAAAAAAAATGAATGCACGGGGTGGTACCCGACAATGAGTACTACCACCCCGCACCTTCACAAAAACCCCTCCCCCCCCCTGAGAGCGCGAAAGAACGGTTCACGGACCCCGTTCATTCGCGTCCAACGCGCGTTTGAACGCGGATTGAACGTGAATTGAACGCGCGTTCAATTTTTTAACGCGGACCCCGCGTTAAATCGAGCTTCGGACACATAGCTCTCTTGTGAATGGCGCTCGGCGCCCTATCTACTCTACAACCTATCCTACAACTACAGCAATGATAAGCAACCAGACAACTTGACTACCAGCGAGTGATGATGTCAACACCAATGCCGACCTCCCCTTCCCCACACTCTCCCTTGTTACCCGCACAGCGCCCTTCACCTCCGAAGAACCACCTTCGCCCTTCACCTCCACTGCGCACACAGGTAGCCCGGCTATGGCCGCCAGTGCCTTGCGCCCACAGGCAGCGCCCTACCGCCTAGCGCATGCCTATCTCTCACCTCTACGTAGCGCAGCACATCATCGTAGCAGCTCGCGTTCGTGCAGCGTGCCGGCAATGCCCGCATTGGCAAAAGATCCCTGCCCACTCGCCCTGCTTGCCTATTTGCCAGTGCAGCGTGTGGGCGGCCTCCCTTCAGCCTGTGACCAAGACCCAGAGGCTGAAGCCAACCCGATACAGTCTGGCCCCGGGGCAATGCAGTAGTGCCTCTTTCATCAAGGTTTGCGGCCAAATTCAGATACTGGGCCGATTTCCCTTTGGCATTTTCGGCCTCTCTACCCAGCATGCATTGTCAGCCTCACATTCGAGTGCCCAAGGCCTAACTAACTCAGAGGCCCTGGGCTTTCAGCATTTGCTGGAATCCGAGACTCGGTGCACTCCAACCAGTTGGTGTGCTGCAACTGTATGAACCCCACTTCGTGAAATGTTGGCACATAGGGCTCTTGTTGATTTGCTGGTCCGCCTTCACTTAGGGCGGGCACGAGGTTTGCTGGGCCTTAGCCCTGAACATGTACATCACGGCAAGGCCCCTTCTTGAGGGCTCAATCCTCATATATATTCTATTTGACGATATATATATATATATATATTTAATATCCTTTGTTTTCCACGTCTCCCTCTCTGCGCAACTTTTAAACGGTTTCTATGTATGCAGCAGAGAGGAAAGAGATAAACTTGTATCTCTTGCAAGGAGAGTAAGGAATTGGAAAAAAAAAGGAAGTGGTAAAAAGTGACCTAGCTCTTTTGTAGGGACTCGTCAAGAGACCCTAGTAGGTGTCATAAGAGAACAGGTTGAGAGGGATAATACCATTAAGGAAGGATCGGATATTGCGAGAGCAAAGCGACCTAATGAAGGAGTTTCATGTTTCAAAGGACCACAAGTCAATGATTTTTTGGATGAGTATAAATTATTTGGACTCAGTTATGGCGAGTTTGATAGACAACGACTCAAGCATCCTCTTTCATATTGTGACATTGACTCAAGACAATGCAATAATTGATGGAAGGGGCTACTACTTGGGAAGAAGTAAAAAACAAGATGAGAAGAAAGTTTAAGAAAGATTCAGTTTCGTCTACTACCAAAGACGCTCTTAACATCAAAAGAGCTAAGTATGATATATTCAATGTTTTTCTTCAAACATTCATTTGAACAACCATAAAAATTTTGTGCTTGGATGAGGCTTCAATATCTCACATTTTCCTAACTGATTTTCGTCACAATGAGAGACAAACATTGTTTAACAAAGCTCAACAATACCCTCTTAGACAAGACGAGATGATAGCAATAGTCAGATCTATAGCTACAGGTTTTCATAAAAAGTGATTGCTTGATCTGATCAATACTATAGCCAAGGATTGGAAAACAGAGAATGATATATAGAATGGGAGTAACATGAGTACAAAGATTATGCTTCAATGAGTTTATATGTTTGTTATCCCAACTTCACATAAGAAAGAGGAAAAGAAAGTAAAAAGTGAGGACGACGAAAATGCTGATTATAATACTAATGCGAAAAAAATACAAACATCAAAAGTTTGAAGGAATGAAAGGAATGACGGTAGAGGAAACAGAGACATAAAAAAATATGAAGACCGGCCAAAGAAGAGCTTCATTTGTTTTTATTGTAGTCAAGGAGGTCGTATCACAACTTATTGTAAACCTTTGGAAGAGGATATAAGGAATGAAGTGGGGAAAATAAAATGTGCAATGGGTCATGTTTGTGACAGTTTTTTAACAAGTTAGATGTCAAGCATCTTGGCGGAATAAGACATATTGCCCTTAAACCTGAAGATAAGAACAAAAGAAAAAAGAGAAAAAAAACTAGCATAATGTTCGCTTTCTTATTGGTCAACTATCTGAAGAACTTGTGTCAAGAACTAGTATTCCTTCACCTATAATTAATTTACCTTTACGATATTTGATATTCGTGAATGACTTTTCTAATGAGGCTTCCTGAAGTGGTCGTCTACTAGAAGAAAATTGTACTTCTCAGGATTCTTCTGAGTTAATATAACTTTTTTTTGGTAAAAACACTTATTGAGTTAACATGATGACTATTTAAGGTAAGTAGGATGTGGTAAGTGGTGATGCATAAGTACACAGAGCGCACAACGTGCACGCCACAGAGTCGAAAGTGCACACGGTAACCAGCGTCACAGAGTCAAAATCCACACGGTGACAAGATCGAATAGTCAACACAAAACCACAGGTTTAAAACGAAACAAACCGACAATGCCAAGAACCTCCTTCATACCACCAACCTACGACTACGGTGTTCTATCGATACTACCGGTAGCATCAATAGTCGTCGCATAGCCGAAACCCAAGAGGCCTAATAGTAACTACATCGATTTACTTATAGTATCGTAGTAGTCGAAACAAGTCATAGTATGGCACCAAAGACGGTCCCGGGGCTTGTGCTTGCCCAGTTCCACACAGAAGTCGAAACTGTAGTCCCGTAAAAAACACACAAAATACAGATAGCAAGTTCGATGCCAGAACACAACACACTTAGAACACACCGAAGGCTAATACAGGTACATAACACTATAAAGTTATAGCAGGTTCTAGCCTTCTAGGCGTCTCAGCAGCATGAGCCCCCGGTAGTACTGTGTCTGACTACTACCGTACCATTCAAATTCAGGCCCCGGATCAGACCCAGAGAAGATCTACGCTACAAAACCAGTTCATGGATCACTACAAAATTTTTGCGCCCAAAAAAAAAACCACTGGAAGCATGAAACCCCTGTCAGAATATTTTTTTTGGATAAACCACTCCACAAAGTGAGGGATGGTCAGCAAAAGCAAATCAAGCAGTTTAGTATAACAACTTATTTGTCGATTTCCAAACAGTATCCCGCAGGATCGCGAAACTCTTCAGTACGCGCTGGAAAAACACGTGCGGAAAATTCTTCAAAATCAATTCACGTTGCAGAGCCCGTACTCGATTCGAGATTTCACACCGGATTGAAGTATTCTTATCAATCCGATGTAAGAAGCTCTCAATGACGGCGCTCTTTTGCCTCTTACAGCCCCACGATAAATAGGACTGCCCATTGTGAATGATCAACTTATGAGAAGTCCACATGCAATCCTCATTTTTCGTCAACTGCATACAACCCTGATAGGGGTAGACCTATTGTACCCGAATCTGACATCCCAAAAACTCAAAGACCCCCGCATTATCGCTAGTGCGTTTGAGCACCAGGTTGGTAGGATAACATCATCGAAAACACGTACTATGTCTGAGTCCCCCTTCCCATACGGCAGGGATATGACCAACATCACGTCATCGATCAAACACGACGCAAAAACATTGCGCATAGTCCGACCAAGGCTGCAAATAGACTGATATTCAGCGAAAGCACACATAAAGCAGGCAAGAGGTGGTCTGGTGCTCTTGCCCATGGGAATCCCAACAATCTGCTGCAGCAAGACCCCCGTGGCTCGAAAATATGTGTGACTCAATTCCAAATTCACAAAAGTCCGCACGTCCTCCAGCTTCAACTTCCTCCAGTGATCGGCCCCGGTAGTGATGGCAAAGGAGGCACCCTTACCTCGGGGGTTCACACAGACGAAGTGTCTCCCTTTACTCAGATGACGCTCAATCAGCCAATCCACAGCACGGCGAATCATATCATGTGACAATTTTGTAAACATTTCCTTAATATCAAAGGAATACGATGTTATCGTCCGGTGTTCACCTAACCTTAAGAATCTTCTGTTAGCAACATCCAGGCGGGAGTTCAAAGAAGAAACTGCAGGCAGATTAAAGTGTCAGTGTCGTGGTATCGTGCCAAGCAAATGATTCAAAGCCTGGGCAACAACATGGCTCGTGCGCACCATTGGCTCACAGAAGGACGGACAAATTGGTCGAAAACGACCGAGGTCCTTATGCTTCGGCAGTAGGTAGGCCGAACCACACATACCGCCAGCATCCCACCATATAAAAGTTCTCAGGCCAACAGCGCAAGCATCCTCTCAGAGCTCACATAAGGCCACACCTTCAGAATGGTTTACGATCTTGTACTCGAGATTAAAAACAAAATTACTCAAAAGCGCCTTGTAATAAACCAAGTAGCACATCATTACAGTTTCCCCCAGGTTACGATCCACCGCAGAAATCACAAGCCCATCGACGCATTCTTTTGCTTTAGCAGTAACATCCAACGTCAAGCACCGACTGCATTCAGATGGTGTGAGAAAACATGTTGTTAAGCTATCCCTGATAATGACAGGTAAAGGTCCGTTACAATTAGCCCAATTAGCAAAACCATCGGATAACTCGTTATGTAACAAATTCAATCGATTGGACAACTGTGCACGTGGCACGTTCTTTGCATTACACAGCAAAGGATGAATGTCTTCAAGGTCACTGAGTCGAAACAACACATGCCCGTTCGAACGGGGACGAGAAATACTCACACAAGAGCAGGTAAGCACAAAGCGTGTCGATAGACTACGTATATTGTGCAACAAGTCAGCGGCTACCTTGTGGAGCTGAGACACCTCTAATCGATCATCAAACTTAGTCCCAACTATCTGAATCTTCCTTCGAGCACGGAGCAGAAAACAGCGAGGTAAGTTAAGACGCATCAAAGCATCATTGGCTACCTTGCGGAGCTCAGACACCTTTAATCGATCATCAAACTTAATACGAAAAATAAGATCAGCAATGAGGCTTAAGCCGAAACGGTCCCAAAAGTTTCGCATAAGTATCCATCGCAGGTATTTCCGAGTAGAGTTCCGAGAGAATTCCTTAACAGCACGGTACATTCGCATCATAGTTCGCATACTCCACTTTGAAGTAACAGAAATCCGCCGAGGATTCCGAAGGATGCAGATCAAGACTTTCTTGAAAAATCCACACTTAGATGTTCATTTACATACATGCAGAACAGAGAACAGTCCTCCCAATTGTAAGAGACTCCTACAATCTTTTAGGTGGGCAGTGCCCTCTTTCGACACAATCTTGGCCTCCCCGAAAGTCTGAACAACTTTATTCCAGCGCGGTTCCCACACATTCCCACTTTGAACAAAAAAGTCCACACCAGTGTTCCCATCCTTCAAAGCGTTATTTAGGAAAGCAAAAAAGTCCACACACCATTCATCAGAATCAATAACGTGAAAATGAAAAGATTTTCAGTGAAACACATTGGGTTCATGATGAACTTTCTGCCTGGCACGTTATTTTTTTCCCCGTTTCTTTGGCTTACCACCAGCGTTAGTCTTCCTACATCCGGATGTGTTGAGGAACGGGGACCACAACTTGATATAAGCATTCTCCAAAACCGTCAGATCCCCGCCAACCAGAATATCCACAAGTATCAGCACATAATTCCCAAGTCCAAAGGATGTTAACCAGCGATGAAAGTGTGATCGGGTTCGCTTCTTACAACAATAGATATGTTCCCTCTAACAGACATCAACATTCCTCGTAGATTTGCCGACATACGACAATTTACAAAATGGCGAAATCCCAATATACACGCAGGAGCTAAGTCTAAGGAAATCGAAACCATGATTCTCATATAATTCCAGCCACTTCAGAACACACTTATTGGCCCAACGAATCTCACCTTGCAATGCTAGTAACAAAAAGATCAAACGGAATACCCCCTCAAAGGATCTATTAACAGCGGCAGATTCACAACGTTCATGCGCAAGTAATCGACAAAGTTTCCATAGCTTCTGTACAGGTAAGCCACATCACACATCTCCCCCTGCGGCAGACTCCACCATCCCATCCCCGCCGAGGTTTTCAGAGGCAACGACATCGATTACCTCAACATTCCCTGTTGTCGACCCCTCGAAGGCTTGTTCAGTACGATAGTCAGCAATATCGAAGATCGCATCGATCTTCTTATCATAGTGCAATCCCTCTTCGCGACAGATGCTCTGCAACTCGGTAGCATCCAAGGATTTAAGCTCCTTGAGCACATCATTTCGATAGCGGAGACGGGCAAGGGCCCCTTTGGCGGCTGGGGTCAACACTGTCATTGCAGCACGCGTTAGTGAAGTATGGCGCTTCGAAATAGGTGTAGCAATCTTCTTATTGTTCGACTTAGGTGTCCAGCCCCCACCCGCCTTCTTTGACTTCGAGCGGGTCAACAGTCCCGTCAACTTCACAGGTTTCATGATACCTCGCTTCTGAGTTCTCTTCGCTGGCAGCTCCATCGGAGGACTTGGCTCTTTGAAGACAGATTCGGCGCCCCGCTTGCTCTTCTCTGAAATACTCAGTCGCTCAGTTTTTTCATTGAGCTCCTTTGTTACACTCGTATCACTATCCTCACAGCGGGCAGGTGACGCTTCATCCGAATTAGATGCGTACCTCACCTTCTTCTTGCCACGCTCTTGACTTGGAGTAAGTGCTGGCGCAACGACCTGGTACATACGTTCAACCAGTCGATTTTCCAAATCACCGACCTGTATGGCAAGTTGTATGCTCATATCCTTCTGCATTGCCACCCGTGCTTCTGCTTCCAAAGCCTTCTTCTGCTTGGCTTTCAACATCTTCTTCTCAGTTCTAACACGTTGTTTCTCCCTTCGAACGCGTTCCTCCTCCTCCTGCCGTAGCGCCTCCTCCTTCTCCAATTTCTTCTTCCTCTTTGCTTCTTTCTTTTCCCGTTCAGCAGCATAGTGCTCCTCCATCACCGCGACACTCTTGCCGAGCTTCGCAATAGTATCCCACAGCTCCGCATTAAGTGGCTGAGGGATCTCTCTCCTTCTCGAATCATACCCGCGTAAAGATCTAGAGCGCCTTGAATCAGACGACGAAGACGGTCGCGCATTCGAACGTCTACTCCGGTTTGGGCACTGATTCGCATAGTGTCCAATCTCCTGACACACAAAGCACATAGGTGGCCTATATGGCCTTCGCTCCCCACCATCATCACGTGTGCCGCGAGGTCGATCTCCTCGTTTCTGCTCGCCTCGGTCATCATGGTCACGTGAGGCCATGACACCGTTCCTCCAAACTTCGCCGCACCAGCCGTCAAACAGGTCCCAAAGCAGTATGGCGACTAAACACCATCACCCAGTCCAGACGTACTTAGTCGCGTATGACGCAGTCTTTCGTCATGTTACAACAAATCAACAATGATGAAGGCGATGGAATCTCGTTTGTGCTCACTCTAGCCCGAGAAGATAACTCCAGGTAAGATTATATGCGCAGTCCAATGGATGTGGTAAGTAGTGATGCACAAGTACACAGAAGGCACAACGTGCGCGCCACAGACTCGAAAGTCCACATGGTGACAAGTGTCACTGAGTCGAAATCCACATGGTGACAAGATTGAATAGTCAACACAAAACCATAGGTTCAAACCGAAACAAACCGACAATCCTAAGAACCTCCTTCATACCACCAATCTACGACTACGGGCTTCTATCGATACTACAGGTAGCATCAATAGTCGCCGCATGACCAAAACCCAAGAGGCCTGATACTAACTACATTGACCTACTTATAGTACCGTAATGGTCGAAACAAGTCATATTATGACACCAAACACGGTCCCGGGGCTTGTGCTTGCCCAGTTCCACACAGAAGTCGGAACAGTAGTTCGTAAAAAACACACAAACTACAGATAACAAGTTCAATGCCGGAACACAACACACTGAGAACACACCTAAGGCTAATACAGGTACATAACACTAATTAGCTATAGTAGGTTCTAGGCTTCTCAACAGCATGAGCCCCCGGTACGAGTCGGTAGTATAAGGTCCGACACTTATCGTACCATTCAAATCCAGGCCCCAGATCAGATCTAGAGAAGATCAACTCCACAGAACCAGTTCATGGATCACTACAAAATTGTTGCGCAAAAAAAAAAAACCATTGGAAGCATGAAACCCCTGTCTGAATAAGAAGTCGTTATGAAACCTGATATAATGATTCGAGAGATAAAAAACCGTCAAGCAAACATGAAGCCTCAGATGATCAAGGAAAAAAAGGAGAAGAAAAGTTGAAGAGACCCTAAATAACATTCTTCATGATTAAAATCAGAACCCCTCATCTTGAAAGAATAATCAAGCGAAGGAAATAAAATTTATTCTCAAGAGTGAATTAGAAGATGGAGCGGTACAGAGTGATACGATTACAAAGGTGTTAGAATAAATTGATATAACTCTATCTTTTAATAAAACAATAATTTTACCACCTAAATTGAGAGAGAGGCTTAAAATATTGATTAAAAAACAAAAGGTAGAAGCAAATTATTTGGGAGCGTTTTTCCCTTCTCAAGTGGACAGGTCATTGTCCGATTGTAAGATGAGATTCGCAACCATGGTTTGTAGAGATCTAACTTTTTATATTAATCAGGTGAAGATTTGAACCTTAGTCGACTTTGGGGTCGAAATGATTATTCTTCTTGAAAGGACTATGGAGGCTTATAACTTAACTATTGATAGAAGCCCGAAGAGTAAATTAAGTAATATTGATGAAACCTTGTATGCAATATATTGATAATTTGACAATTAAGGTTGAAACACTGTTTGTTGAACTATTTGGATTCCAGGTTCCATAATTGGATCATGATTGTATCCCGAGTACTTCGTTTTTCAATAGAATAGAAGTTGCCTTGTTCTTCATTCATGAAGGGTCATCTTGGATTCTTTTGCAAGACCTCGAAACTAGCCAGAAACAAACATTTATGGTTTGTACTTCAAACCATCATAAGCATCCGATATCAGTCAACTCAATTAGAAGGGAGAGAACTGTATTGAAAAATATGAAATTTAGAGAAAAAGGTAAACAAAAGATTAAATAAAAAAATTCAATGGATATTAATCAGCTATTTTAGATGCTGAAATTTTTTCGTTGACTCAAAGATGATGATGGACACACTGAAGCATTCAAAAAGGCTCTTGAATCTGCGAAGAGTGGAATAATGGAGCTACGATTTGCATCAATTTATTCGTTTTTAGAAAAATAATCACTGAGTCAAAAAGAAAGTACAAACCCAATGAGGTGAAGAAGAACGCGAATACTGTTTTAATATAATAAAAACAATGATAAACCATTGAAAAAGGAAAGGGGATTCATCCAAGCATGAAGGGAGTCAACGAAAATACGGAATAATGTCACAAGAGAAAATATTTAAAACTATGAAAATTGATTCAAATTAAGTCACATGGTCTATTAAGAAGGAATATATTTTCAAGGTGTGTAAAACTCTCTGATGCATTTTCTTTAAATTTAATAATGAAGAGAGAGGGCGATCAGATGTCGATATGATTAAAGTGGTAAAAGTATGGATTCTTCCTCCACATATTGTCCGTTATAAATGTCTAAATTAATGCGGATAGTTGTTATATGTCGAGGTGCGTTACCACTTTTGATTGTGAGCATGCAAAATTAACGGAGACAAGTGAGGATCCTATTTGGAGAGTGAACCTGGAGTCAAGATAGACAAAACGTTATTGACGTTGTGTGTTGTAGTGTAGTAACGACCTATGTATTACCTGCGGTCACAACCGCAGGGTTAAACTCGGCGGACGACCGTGATCACGGTCGTCGCAGCTCCGACCACGATTGGGTGTGGCCACGACTTTAAAGAATTTTTTAACACTTAATAAAATCCTCAAAAAATAAAAATAAAAAATAATCTTGTAGATCTTTTCGAGATCTACTTTGCCATTTTTATTTATTTTTTCCAATTTATCTTTGAATTTTAAAAATTCAAAAACTAATTTCCCTAAGGCAAAAGTTTTTTTTTTAAAGAAAAACTATGAAACTTATTTATTTTCTTATTTCAAATTTAGTAAAGTTTCTGTACAAGACTAGAAGACAAAAAATTGTTTATTTTATTTTTTTTATATAATATATGTTTTTTCCAAAAAAATTGATTTTTCTTATAAAACATGTTCGGACGTTCAGCATAAGTGCAAATGTCCTACCAATCACTTACATGCCATACATGTGACAAAAAAGGAGGGAAGAGGGGGCAAGATAATCAACGACCAGACCCCAAACATCCAAAGCGAGCATTTCCAATCCGATCTGATTATATAGCTCACACAGGCAAACATTGGTCAGAGACGAAACAAGCATCGCAAAACAGACTCGACATCCGAAAAGATCGCTAATAAAAAGGAATTTACATTCATTTTATGCATACTGGCAGCATACATACTGAGTAAAACAACAAGGAAAATCCAAGACAATGTACAAGAGAAGTTCAAAAAGGGAGGGTCGTGATAAGGAAATTGGCCATATCAGGATCAAAAATTATACAGATGAACAAAGGAACGAAGAAAAAAAAAAAAAAAAAACTTATCTTGCACCCACACAATCGCTCTCTCTTTCTCTCTCTCTGTCTGTCTGTCTGTCTGTCTATCTGTCTGTCTGTCTCTCTCTCTCTCTCTCTCTCTCTCTCTCTCTCTCTCTCTCTCTCTCTCTCTCTCTCTTTTTCTCCGCCCCCGATGCGGGCAGTTCGTTGCCTCGCATCAACACTCACGATACTGATAGTCTGTCACCACGTATCAACGCAAAGTTGTCACCCTTCTTGGTCCAAGCATGCAAGCTAGGTTCGCCCGTGCGCCACAGTCCGTCGCGGCCCCGCATGTCAACCCCGCATACCCGACACCAGCACGTCGGATCGCCCAACTCTCGCACTCACTTAGCTTCAAAACCTGCTCGTTAGCCAAACCTCACTGATCGCACTAACCTCGAAATTCTTAAAGCGAAAACTAATCATGCGTGCGAAATTTATAGCATGCATGCCTACGCGAAAGGTACGGGATTTCGCCCAGGTGGACAAGAAAGGAAGAGAGGAAGTGCCTACGTCTGCATGGTCAAGTCGCTGCGTGGGGGTCGTAGCCACACTTCATGCATCGCTCCGGTAAGGCGGGCGCTTTGGGCTATTAGAACGGAGTATGCGAGGCGAGGAAGAAGAAGAAGAAGGCGAGCAAACATAGGGAAACCAAGAAAGAAAGAAAATTACAGTTACGATAACGCCCGCCAAAAATGACAGTTGCACGAGATTAAAGGCGCGATCTAGTCAGAACCCAAATCCCGGCGCAACAAGATGTGTGCGAACGCTGCGCGACAAAATTCAGAGTGTACCTAAATTCCTGGTCTAAGTCCTAGTTGCAATAGAAAATTCTGAAAAGAAAAACAATTCCGAGAGCCCGTGGGGGCTCGATATCAGTAAAAAATTCAAAAACGATATTCCCTCGCGATGATCGCCCTAACATTCCCAATGCTCACATCAGAACAAGAAAGGAAAAGAAAAAGCTATGGTACGGGATTTTCCCGACACCGACCCGACAACTTCTAGCAAAAACAAGAAGAAAACGAGGGCATCCATGCAACTAGCCCGTCCGACCCTCTTCCACAGCTCAACCCTTCGATCCGTCGTATCCCCCCTCGCGCAGAAAGTCGCACGGTTACAGAAAGTAGTCCGTCACAAGGCGGAAACCAAGGTGGTTTCCAAATTTGGAGTGTCTGCCAGTTAGACCCTCTTGCCTCACTGACATCTTCAAATTTGGAGAGAAGGCCAAAACGGTGCCCTCTTCTTTGGAGCATGTCTTTTCCCGACCAGCTTTCACAAGACTGGTTAGTGAAGTCATGAATTTTAGACTCTTGGAAAACTTCAACACCTCTTGAAAGTTTTCTCCTTTTCAGAAGGGCCTAGTTGCACTACTAACCATTCGCCACAGCTCGTGGCGAATGTGTGGAGAGTGAAAAGAACTAGAACCGTGTCATACTGGAGGTCTGGTTGCACTTACTCGCCACTATGTTTCTTCTACAGGAAAGCTAAAAAAAATCTGCCTAATCTCCACTTGTGAATCCGTGCACTCGCCAAGAGGATGTTTTGTGGAGAGGTCACGTTGATGACCCTCCACATAACTCATTGCACTATGTGGCGGATTGAAAAGGGAAAATCCGTAAAAGTTCTGACAAGTTTGGCGAGTAAGTGCAACCAGGCACCTACTCGCCAAACTCGGCGTATGGAGAGTAGTGCATCTAGGCCCTAAAGTGCTATGGGGAGCACCTCAGGCACATGGGCTCCTAGTAACCC